GGAGTTATAGTCTTGGAATTCTGGGAGTTATAGTCTTGGAATTCTGGGAGTTATAGTCTTGGAATTCTGGGAGTTGTAGTTTGGGGGATTCTGGGAGTTGTAGTCTTGGAATTCTGAGAGTTGTGGTCTGGGAATTCTGGGATATGTAGTCTAAGAATTTGGGGGGGTGTAGTCTGGGGGATTCTGGGAGTTGTGTCTTGGAATTCTGGGAGTTATGGTCTTGGAATTCTGGGAATTGTAGTCTTTAAGAATTCTGGATATCGTTGTCTTTAGAGCAGCACTTAACACCAAGCTTTGGAAAATGTGACTTGAGCTCTGAGTATCCACCTTGTTTTTCGTCCACAGGCGCAGCTGTGTCGTGCGCTGTACGACAACACGGCCGAGTGTCCGGACGAACTCTCCTTCAGCAAAGGAGACCTTATGGTCCTCCTCCAGCCAGAAGGGACTGGCCTGGAGGGCTGGCACTTGTGTTCCTTGCACGGCCAGCAAGGGATCGTGCCCGCCAACAGGGTGAAGGTCCTCCCCGAGTCGGGATCTCACCCAAATCACACCCCAGCAGAGGTCTACCAGGTCCCAAAGAAGGAAGGGCTTCTTCTGATGGGGAAGATCTCAGATGGATCCATGGACGGATGGAGAAGGAAAGATCAAAGGAAAGAAGAACAGGAGGTGAGAAGGACGGGGGGGAACCTGGAGGTCTTCTCCTGCTGGTTGGTCTCCATGGTGTCACCTTGGAGAGGTGAGACGAAACATCCCCAGGGACTTGTCTACCGTCTACTCAAACTTCTACCCAAGGTGAGAAAGATGGACTTCAATATCTTCCACCAGAGCAGCGTCTCTGGTGGAAGATATTGAAGTCCATCTTTCTCATCTTGGGTAGAAGTTTGAGAAGACGGTAGGCAAGTGGATTGAGAGGTTCCCACCCATTTTAGCTGTGTGTGGATGATGGGAATTGTTCTCCACCATATCTACAAGGTCCCAGGGTGGAGAAGCATGCCTACTAGGAGAGCTGTTGAGGAGGACCTTTTCGATCTTCTAAAACCCTCTAAGATGTTGACCCCAAACTTGCTTTTGAGGTCCACTTGGATGGGATGGGATGGGTCGCTCAACCAACCACGATGAAAGCTGGTTTCCTCCGCCCCCCCCAAACCACGAACTCTCCATCCCCATTTTAGCCTAGCCATGTTGGCCGTAACCTATCTGAGATATGGTTTCGAAGCTCCAGGGATCGGTTCCTCCTCCTATTTTGGTTCCTCCTCTCCAGATCCTGATTCCTGGTTTCTCCTTGTCTTTTTTTTCTTCCACCCCAGGTCTATGAGATCCCACCACCCGCAAGGCCCTGCCCGTTGCCCCCAGAGGGGATCTACAGGGTCCCTCGGGGGACGCGGAGAGAAGAAGATTCTGCGGAGGTATTTTGAGAGAACAGGCCAAAGGAGAAGATGGCCGTGGGTTTCTGTTTTGGCCTTTTCTTGCCACAGTTGTTAAAGTGAATCATTGCAATTGTTAAGCGAGTCACGCGGTTGTTAAGTGAATGGCTTCCCCATCGACTTTGCTTGTCGGAAGGTCGCTAAAGGGGGGGGGTTCACATGACCCAGGGAAACTAACGGTCGTAAGAGTGAGTCAGTTCCCAAGTGCCTGGTTTTTGATCACGTGGTTGTGGGGATGCGGCAACGGTTGTGTGAAAAACATCTCTTCAAATGCTCACTAAACAAATAGTAAGTCAAGAACTCTCTGTACTGTCAACTGAGATGGCATGGCTATTTTATTTTATTTCATTATTTTACTTTATATTTTATTTTACTTTACTTTTTAATTTCATTTTATATTTTTTATTTTATTTCTATTTTTTTATTTTAGTTTATTACAATTTTTTTACGTTAGCATATTATTCTACTCCATTCTTTTATTGTACTTTATTCATTTATTTTATTATTTTGTTGGTTTTATTATTCGGTTAATTCTACTCTATTCTTTTATTTTACATTATTTCGTTATTCCACCCTCCATTGTTTTATTTCATTTTTCTTCTTTTTTATTTTATTCTTCTAAATCTACCCTTTTTTATTTTACTTTGCTATTTTCTTTTATTAATTATTTATTTATTCTGTTATTTTATTCTTCTATTCTTTCATTTTATGTTATTTCATTATTCTACACTCCATTGTTTTATTTCATTTTTATTCTTTTTTATTTTATTCTTCTAAATCTATCCTTCTTATTTTATTCTTCTAAATCTACCCTTTTTTATTTTACTTTGCTATTTTATTTTATTGTTTATTTATTCTTTTATTTTGGTCTTCTATTCTTTCATTTTACGTTATTTCATTATTCTACACTCCATTGTTTTATTTCATTTTTATTCTTTTTTATTTTATTCTTCTAAATCTACCCTTTTTTATTTTACTCTGCTATTTTATTTTATTATTTATTTATTTATTCTTTTATTTTATCCTTCTACTCTTTCATTTTTCTTTATTTCATTATTCTACACTCCATTGTTTTATTTCGTTCTTCGTTTTTTATTTTATTCTTCTAAATCTATCCTTTTTTATTTTACTTTGATATTTTAATTTATTTATTTATTCTTTTATTTTATTCTCCTATGCTTTTATTTTACTTCATTTCCTTATTCCACCCTCCACTGTTTTGTTTCATTCTTCTTTTTATTTTCTTCTTCTAAATCTATTCTGTTTGGTTTTCTTCTTCTAAATCTATTCTTTTTTATTTTACTCTGCTATGTTAATTAATTCATTTATTCTTTTATTTTATTCTCCTATGCTTTTACTTTACTTCATTTCCTTATTCCATCCTCCACTGTTTTGTTCCATTCTTCTTTTTTTATTTTAGTCTTCTAAATCTGTCCCTTTTTATTTTCGTCTTCTAAATCTATTCTGTTTTGTTTTCTTCTTCTAAATCTATTCTTTTCTATTTCACTTTGCTCTTTTATTTTATTTTCATTTATCTTGTTTCATTCTAAGATCTTTTTTAAAAAAAATCTTTTATTACATTATATGTGATTGCCACCTGACCTGCTGGCCAACTGGTTTCTATTCTAAATCTGATCCGGGAGTCAAAACCTCAGCTGGTTTCAGGGGGCCACATTTGATCTCGGCGCCAGTTGCCATCGGCTGGGGCGCCCAGTGGCGACGGGCAAAGCCTCCAGGGAGGGGAAAAGGGGGCCGACAACTGGCTGCGCCTGTTGGATTAAATTTTACGCCTGTCCTGCCGCTGAGAGTAATTGTATCTGAGTCCTTTAGAAAGGGGGACAGCTGCCTTCCCCAACGCAACCAACATTCGCCTTAGATGGAGACCCACATTGGTTGGAAGGACAGGTGAGAATGCGGAAGTTAGCAGCTGGGAAAGTTTGAAAAGAAAATGCTAGACTGTGATTTTGGGAGGCGTCTCCCGGTGCCTTTTGAAGCTGGGGATATCGGTCAATAGCAGAGGGGCATCCAGAAGACAGGCTTAAGATACAGAAGGATCTTGACAAACTTGAACGTTGGACCCTATCTAATAAAATGAAATTCAAGGGTGAAAAGAGTCAGGTTCTACATTTAGGCAAGAAAAACGAAATGCACAAGTACAGTATAGGTGGTACCTTGCTCAATAGTAGTAACTGTGAAAGGGATCTCTGCGTTTCGTTGTCTTCTCCACTTCTTTCTCTTCTATTGTGCTTTATTGTTGTTGTTGTTGTTGTTGTGGTTGATTTATTCTTCAATTCAGTTCACTGTTTGGGACTCCTAAAAAGTTATCAGTTCAAGACCTAACCAAGGATCTAAGAGCTGCTGTATTAAGATAGCGGCTGAATATATGGGCAATTCCTGAATTATTATAAAGTCAAAAGTATTTTTATTTAAGATTTAGCGTTCAATTCGATTGGCAGTCTGGATAGTCGTTAAAACTTAACAGTTCAAGGCCTAACCAAGGACCTGCCAACTATTAAGTGTCTGAATATTTAGGCAGTTTCCTGTAAGGTGGTATTTTGCAAAGCCAGAATATTCAGGTTTAATAAATTCAAAATGTCCGTGTATCATCTTCTTCTCCACCTTCTCCTCCTCCTCCACCTCCTCCTCT